TAAAAATGTTTCCGGACTATGTTGCCCAGACCAGTCTCGAACTCTTGGCCTCAAGCAGTACTCCTGCCTTGGCCTCCCAAACTGTTGCACATACAGGCAAGACTCACCACACCCTGCCACAGAAATCCTAGGTTTTGTACTCAGCTGTACCACTTACTAGCTGTTGTGATTCTAGTAAACTGATTTAACCTCTCTGAATTTCACTTTTTTTATTTCCAAAATAAGGAAAAAGATTTATCCGGCTTAGAGAAGGATACTGTGACACAATGAGTTGGTGAATGTAAAAGTGCCTTACAAAGTATGTGTTCACATATTTTATGATTTATTTATTACAGTATTATTACCATGGGGAATTGATTTATGGCAATATGATCTATAACATTTCTGGAACTCCAATAATATTCCAGGTCTGTATTGGGCCTGATGCTTTCAAATATAGTATCTATGTGCCCTCTTGAATCTCAGGGCCAGAACATGCACTGACCCAGAGAGCATGGTAAAAATGATGCCATGTGATTTTCAAGGCTAGGTTATTAAAGACTGTTCAGCTTCCACCTTCTTTGCTGAAACACTCATTGTAGGCATTCTGAGCTCTATATAAGAAGTGTGAGCAGCCTGATGTCTCCATGATGGAGAGGCCTGGAGGAGAAATCACCAAGAGAAGCCCTGAGACTAGTTTGAGAGAGATGCCAATGAGCTTTAGCCATGAGTCACTCTGGCCCAGATATCAGACCTGAAAGTGAAGAAGTCTCCGGAGGATTCTAGCCTCCAGCCATTCAAGTCAACCTCAGCCATTCGAGTTTTCCAAGCTGAGGTTCCAGACATTGTGGAGTATAGTCAAGCCATGTTGGCCATGTCATCTGAACTCCTGACACACACAAAATTCATGAGCATAATAACATTCTCATTGTTACACCAAGTTACACCATACTCATAACAAACCACCAAGTGGTTTGTTATGCAGCAATAAATAACCAAAACAGTTTATTAGTAAAGTGTTTCGATTAGTAAACCATAAATCTCTGCATCATCTCTGTCAACTGAAGAATGATGACGTTCATAAATTTGGAAAGGAGAGCATTATTTCTCGTAAAGGTTTGCAGTCTGCAGGCTAGCCATCTTACAGGGAAGCCTCACTTCTGGCAAAATATGAGAACAAGCACTTTGAGGGAGGGTTAAAGGGAACAGGAATTTATGCCGAGCATAGTGGCTGAATTTACACAGTCAATAACCTATAGGAGGAGTCATGAATATTTCACGAAAGGAGAAACAAGGGCACGCACAACTGAGCTTCATGCCTCTTCATGGGTTGCATGTTCAAAAAACAGCAGCCTTAGGATGATCCACAGGCCAGGGTGTGGTGGGGTTGGCCCTCTGACAGCAAAAGGTGAAGCAGAGGGCAGGAACACCATCACTGTCCATCCTCTGTGAGCCAGCCAAAACCAGTCTGAAGATGGCGGTCAGTTTTTAGGAAGGGATGCATTGTGAAACTGGTGAGCTGTCCTGTTGAAACCACAAAGAGGGAGAGGGAGTCCAGTTGCAGCCTCAGATGACTAACTAAAGGCAATAAAGGAATGAATCCTTTGTTGGTAGTTTTCCAGAGTTTGTTTCTGCTTACTTCTTAGGAAAGAATTCTGGTTAAAGTTTAACAAGGAAGGGGCACACTGAGGCATATCCAACCTCTGGTCCTGTTATGGCCAGGAACACAGTTTTGAAGGTTTCTTGAGTTACCTTGGCCAAGAGAGAGTCTGTTTAGTGGGTTGGGGGGTGGGGGATCTTATTTTTATTTCTCATCTCAATTTTTATAGATGGGAACTGGGAGGGAGAGAGCTTAAGTAACTTTTAGTCTTACTATTGATAATGGTAGATCCAGGATAGTAACTCAGGTCTGCCTTAAGGCAGAATCTATGTTTTTCTAACCACAGTGGGACTGACCTCTGGGGGACATGCATGGTCAGCCTGCTGAGTCCACAGGATGAAGAGCAGAAGGAGAAACATGTTTTTGCTTTCGTGTATGGAGTTGCCTTGGCCGAGAGGGAGTCAGATCAGTGGACTGGGGGGTCGGGGATCTTATTTTTATTTCTCATCTCAATTTTTATAGATGGAAACTGGGAGGGAGAGAGCTTAAGTAACTTTTAGTCTTACTATTGATAATGGTAGATCCAGGATAGTAACTCAGGTCTGCCTTAAGGCAGAATCTATGTTTTTCTAACCACAGTGGGACCGACCTCTGGGGGACATGCATGGTCAGCCTGCTGAGTCCACAGGATGAAGAGGCAGAAGGAGAAACGTGTTTTTGCTTTGGTGTGTGTTTGTCTCCAGGATGTCTGCTGGATGATCATCCAAGAAGACCTCTGAATTTGTTATTATCTGCTTCAGACATCTTAATTAAATGCTTTAGAGGCCTCTACCATACAATCAAAACTCTAAGCACTCTTCTCCCTATGGGAAAAAAAAAAGTAAACTAAAATTCCTGTCCACTGTTAAGATTCCAGCTATTGATTTCTGCTCATTTTTAACTTACTTTCTCTCTGAGAGTGCAAGTCCCCCAACAAGAGAAGAATAAATAAGAGCAAGTCAGTGCCACCTGGGTGATAGAGGAGGAGGGGGTTAGAACACCCTGATAAGGGTCTGAGTTGATGGTTCAATAGGAGAAGGATTAAGAGAACTGAAGTTAAAACTTGTTTGAACTTGTAAAACCCTTTTTTGAAACTCCAGGAGAAGGCCTTTCATTTCACAGTGAACCTTGCTCCACATGTACTATCACAGTAAGAATAAGAAAAATAAAATTTAAGGGAGAGAAAACAAGAAGCAAAAGGATGTCAAATATTGAATATTTCATCAACTTTGTAAACAGAAAAGGAATTTTCTCCCTTAATTTTATTAAATAAAGGGACAGGCCCAGAGTGCTATATTTGAGGTGGCGGATAACTTATGGAGGCAGCGCCTGGAGAAGAAGCCTCCATTCTGTCTGTTGCTTTCACACTATATTGTCCCTATTTATTTTTATCCTATGCAACTGCTGTGAGTAATATCTGTGTAGCATAAGATCTGGTCACTTGTTTCTGTGAGGCTATATTTAGAATAAGAGTGGCCAACAGATTATTAGAGAAAGTGAGAAGTGGAGAAAGAGGGAATGCAGTCTGTTCAAAAGGTGAGACATATGTATCATCTTAGCAGGTGTAACTATCAAGTACCTGAATAATCTATGCAGGACTTCCATTAGGTGATTTACATATTTAACCTTCACAAAAACTCTCTGAGGCCAGTCTTCTTATCTGTATATTTATATGAAGCATTGACTTTTAAAGAGGTTATATTACCTTGGAAGTGGCAAAGATGAATACCTGTCCATCTTACCCCCAAGTCTATGTTTATTCCACTTTGCCGGTATTTCTCACGGTATATACAACATGCTTTTAGTAGACATGATATATTCCAATATTTATGTGCTTTTTTTAGTGTGCATTAAAAAATGTAATTGGCACATAAAACCTTAATATTCATGAATATTCTTTCTTACAACATGGATAAGGTATGTATTTAAGTTTTTTTAAATAGAAATAGCTAGAGCAAAAATGCTTACTAAATAATCATATATAAATTAAAAAATGAAGTGGCATGAAGTGATTAATGTTTGGGGAACTAGACTATTCTGGGCTGTCCTCATTTCATTGATTGGTTATTTGAGAATTTTGAAAGAATTTGTTCAGATTTACTGATAAAACACAAGCTAAGTTTTGATTTTACAGTGATATCAATAATATTAGGTTAGAATATGCTCTTAAAGAAAAGGTGGCTGGGCGCGGTGGCTCAAGCCTGTAATCCCAGCACTTTGGGAGGCCGAGACGGGCGGATCACGAGGTCAGGAGATCGAGACCATCCTGGCTAACACAGTGAAACCCCGTCTCTAATAAAAAATACAAAAAATTAGCTGGGCGAGGTGGCGGGCGCCTGTAGTCCCAGCTACTCGGGAGGCTGAGGCAGGAGAATGGCATAAACCCGGGAGGCAGAGCTTGCAGTGAGCTGAGATCTGCCCACTGCACTCCAGCCTGGGCGACAGAGCGAGACTCCGTCTCAAAAAAAAAAAAAAAAAAGAAAAGGTACCATTCCTTTCAAATGTATCTGTTTAATTTAGTAGGTATGTAAATTGCATGTATTCATGATCACAGATGAAAGCACTGTTCTTTTATTCATGCATTTATTCATCTATTCAATGAAATTTATTGAGTATCTGAAATGTAGTAGAAATTAATTACACACATCCCATGTTTTGTAGGGGCTCACGTCTTCTAAGAAAGTCAATCATCTAAACATTTATTCATGACATAGTTATTTGTGGACAAAGTGCTATGGGATCTACCAAGGAGAGAATTACTCTCTACCTCTCTAGGAATGGGATCTCTGGGGAAACAACACAGTGCAAAGAATTTTATTTTAGATAATAAGCTGGCACTGAATTCAGTCCGGATCCAGCACAGTTGAAAATCTGCTACCTGCATCTGACAAATCATGGGATTATAGTTTGGGGTTAAGATAGTGCTTAACATTATAAAAGATCTAGCATGCCAGATGCAGTGGCTCATGCCTGTAATCCCAGCACTTTGGGAGGCCAAGGCAGGGGAATCAGTTGAGGTCAGGAGTTCAAGACCAGCCTGACCAACATGTAGAAACCCTGTTTCTACTAAAAATACAAAACAACCAGGAGTGGTGGCGCATGCCTGTAATCCCAGCTACTCGGGAGGCTGAGGCTGGGGAATCACTTGAACCCGGGAGGCGGAGGTGGCAGTGAGCTGAAATCATGCCACTGCACTCCAACTTGGGCAACAAGAGCGAAACTCCATCTCAAAAAAAAAATATCTAGCATAATTGATACCCAGAGCTGATTCTATCTTACTTAACAGCACACTTCTTTATAAGATAAAATCATTATCAATATTAACCCTGAAGTAAAAGAAATAACAATAAAACTGGCCAGAAAGGAAATACAGTATAATAGATTAATATTTTTAATTATTTTAATGAATTCTTTGAACAAAGGGGAATATGTATACCATTATACTGGTCACTTATACTAATGAATAATTACATTAGTTTGGTTTTGAGTCTTAACTTCTGTCATTGTTGATGACTTCATCAAAATTAATCTTCTTCATCATACTCCTGCAGAAAAAATAGTCTAGTTAGGGCTTTTAACCTATTTCATTCACAGTTGATCCAATAATACATTTTATTAATTTTCATTTCAGACAACTTCTTTAACATGAAGCAAGATATACAAAATAGTTATGTAAAGTCTTAAACATAAGGATAAGTTTGGCAGAGATGATAAAAATTCCATTTTATAATAAATTTCAGAAAATGCCACTACCCATATCTTTGTTTCTTCTTCGATAGGGTAATTGATTTTAAAGCCTCTAAATATTTCTGCTCTTGAAGAATTGTAAACAGAAATTATAACACCATAGAATGACATATTAAAGTCACGTAAATTATGTTTCTTGTCTTTGCAATCACTGTGCTGTCATTGTTTACTTCAAAGCTACTGCTAAACACAGGAATATGTAACGCAGTAGGAGTCAGAAACAGAACTTTAGCCTGAAGCAAGCTCAAAGGATTTCAAAGTGTTACAGACTTCCTTTCAAAGTGAGTTTATATAGCTGAGCCTAGGTATTCTGGGTCAAGCTGTCTCACCAAAGATTCTCTCAATTTTCATGTAGAATATAAAATGTATTAATGTAGAAATTATAAAATATGCTAACTTGCTACTTATATATTATGTTGGCTTGAATGTGTTCCTCCCAAAATTATGTGCTGGAAACTTAATCCCCAATGCAACAGTGTTAGGAGGTCGGGCCTAATGAGAGGTGATTAGGCCATGAGGGTAGAGTGAATGGATTAAAACCCATATTATTACAAGAGTGCATTTATTATCATATAAGTGCATTCATTATAAAAGTGAGAATTTGGCCCCCTTTTACTCTTTGTCTCACCCTCTCTTTGCCCTTCTGCTATGAAATGACATAGCAAGAAGGTCCTTGCAAGATACTGGCCCCTTGATCTTGGATTTTCCAGCCTACAGAACCATGAGCCAGTAACTTTTTGTTCATTATACATTACCCAGTCTGTGGTATTCTGTTATAGCATCACAAAATGGACAAAGAAAGTTGGTACTAGTGAAGTGTGGTGTTACCATATCAAATACCTGAAAATGTGGAAGCCTCTTTGGAATTGGTAATGGGCAGCTGTTGAAAGAATTTGGAGGAAGAGGCAAGAAAAACGCTGTATTGCCATAAACAGGGCATAAAGAGTGATTCTGGTGAGGTTTCAGAAGAGAACTGTAGTAAAAGTATGAAACTTTTTAGACATTAGTTTAGGATTTAAATGATTTTCAGTCTGGTCCTGTGGTAGAAAATGAAAGAACATTTTCAGGAGGGGAAACCAAGGGTATAGCCAAGAGACCATTTGATAAGGAGATTAGTATAGATAGAATGAAGTCAGAGGCTAGTCATGAGACACTGGAAGAATGACCCTGAAGCCACTTTGGAGATTAATGGTACTGCCTCTTATGCCACAGGCACCAAGTTTAATTTCCAATATAATAGTGTTGAAATGTGGGTCCTAATAAGGAATGATTAGGCCATAAGGGGAAATTAAATAGATTAATACCATTATGGCAAAAGTGAGTTCACTATCGTGAGAATGGGTTTGTTATAGAAGGAAGAGTTTGGTACCCTTTTACTCTCTCTCTCTCTCGCCCTCTCTTTGCCCTTTTGCCATGGGACAATATAGCATGAAGGCTTTTGCAAGATGCCAGCCCCTTGATCTCGGACTGCCCAGCCTTCAAAACTGTGAGCCAATATGTTTCTGTTCAATATAAATTACCCAGTCTGTGGTGTCCTTTTCAGCAGCACAAAAAATGACACACACACACACACAGATACACACAGACACACACACACACACACACACACACACACAGATATATATGGTTAAAATTCAACTATAACCACAGCAATTGTTTAGAGCTTAAACTAACAACATATTTTGATTTTTACAGAGGAACATCTTTATGTCACTGACATTATTCAGATTTGCTAGTGTATAGTATTTTTTAAATTATTATTTTAAAACATTTTTGTGGGTGCATAGTAGGTATACATATTTATGGGGTATATGAGATGTTTTGATACAGGCATGCAATGTGAAATAAGCACATCATGGAGAATGGAGTATCCATCTTCTCAAGCATTTATTCTTTGAGTTACAAACAATCCACTACCTTCTTTAAGTTACTTTCAAATATATAATTACATTATTATTGATTATAGTCACCCTATTGTGCTTTCAAATGGTATGTCTTATTCATTCTTTCTATCTTTTGGTATACATTAACCATCACCACCTCCTCCTCAACCCTCTACTATACTTCCCAGCCTCTGGTAACCATTCTTCTACTCTCTATGTCCATGAGTTCAATTGATTTTATTTTTAGATCACACCAATAAGAGAGAACATGTGATGTTTGTCTTTCTGTGCCTGGCTTATTCCACTTAACATGATGATTTCCAGTTCCATTCATGTTGTTGTAATGACAAGATCTCATTATTTTTATGGCTGAATAGTGCTCCATCATGTATATGTACATTTTTTTTATCCATTCATCTATTGATGGACATTTAGGTTGCTTCCCAATGTTAGCTATTGTAAACAGGCTGCAACAAACATAAGAGGGCAGATATCTCTTTGATACACTGACTTCCTTTCTTTTGGGTATATACCCAGCAGTAGGATTGCTGGAACATATAGTAGGTATATTTTTAGTTTTTTGAGAAACTTCCAAACTGTTCTTCATAGTGGTTGCACTAATTCACATTCCCACTAACAGTGTACAAGGGTTTCCTTTCCTCCACATCCTCACTAGTGTTTATTATTGCCTGTCTTTTGAATATAAGCCATTTTTACTTTGTGCATATGCAACTGGAGTGGGATGGTATCTCATTATAGTTTTGATTTGCATTTGTCTGATGACCAAGGATGTTGAGCACCTTTTCATACACCTGTTTGCTATTTGTACATCTTCTTATGAGAAATGTCTATTTAAATATTTTGCCTATTTTTTGATCGATTATTAGATTTTTTTTTCTACAGAATTATTTGAGCTCCTTATATATTCTAGTTATTGACTGTTGGTCAGAGGGGTGATTTGCAAATATTTTCTCTCATTCTATGGGTTATCTCTTCACTTTGTTGATTTTATCCTTTTCTGTGAAAAAGATTTTTAACTTGATGTGATCTCATTTGTCTAATTTTGCTTTGATTGCTTGTGTTTGTGGGATATTGCTCAAAAAATCTTTGCCCATTGTCAGGACCAGTCTACAGTACCGTTGTCCTGGAGACTTTCCCCAAAGTTTGCCTGTAGTAGTTACATAATTTGAAGTATTACATTTAAGTATTTAACCCATTTGATTTGATTTTTGTATATGGCAAGAGACAGAAATCTAATTTCATTCTATTTTCATATGTCTGTCCAGTTTTCCCAGCACTATTTGTTGAAGAGACTGTCTTTTCCTCAGTCTATGTTCTTGGCATCTTTGTCAAAAATGAGTTTACTGTAAGTGTGTGGATTTGTCTCTGGATTCTTTATTTTAATCCATTGGTCTATGCATCTGTTTTTATGCCAGTACTATGCTGTTTTGGTTAGTATAGCTCTATAGTATAGTTTGAAGTCAGGCAATGTGATTCCTCTAGTTTTGTTCTTTTTGCTTAGGATAGCTTTAACTATACTGAGTATTTTGTAATCTATTTATACATTTTAGAATTGTTTTTTCTATTTCTGTGAAGAATGTCATTGATATTTTGATAGGAATTACATTGAATCTGTCGATTGCTTTGAGTGGTATGGACAAGTTAATGATATTGATTCTTCCAATCCATGAACATGGAATATATTTCCATTTTTTGGTGTCTTCTTCAAGTTCCTTCATCAGTGTTTTATAGTTTTCATTATAGAGAACTTTCACTTATTCAGTTAATTCCTGTGTATTAAATTTTATGTGTGATTATTGTAAATGAAATTATTTTTTAAATTTCTTTTTTACATTGTTCACTGTTGGCATATAGAAATGCTATTCATTTCTGTATGTTGATTTTGTATCTCGCAACTTTACTGAATTCGTTTGTCAATTCTAGTAGTTTTCTTGTGGAGTCTTTAGGTTTTTTCAAATATAGGATCATATAATCTGTAAATGAGGATAATTTGACGTCTTCCTTTTCAATTTGGATGCCCTTTACATCTTTCTACTGTCTGATTGCTCTAATTAGGACTTCTAGTACTATATTGAATAGCAGTAATGACAGTGGGAGTCCTTGTCATGTTCCAGATCTTAGAGAAAAGACTTTCAGTTTTTCCTCATTCAGTATGATACTAGCTGTGGGTCCGTTGTATACGGCTTTTATTATGTTGAGGTATGTTTCTTCTATCCACAGTTTTTTAGGGTTTTTTCTTTTCATGAAGGATGCTAACTTTTGTCAAATGCTTTTTTCAGTATCAATTGAAATGATCATGTGGTTTTTATCTTTCATTCTGTTGATATAATGTATCACACTGATGGATTTGCCTAGGAACTATCTTGCATCCCAGGGTTAAATCACACTTTTTTCTTTTGTCTTCTCTGTGTATTTTCAAATAGCCTGTATTTAAGCTTACTAATTCTTTCTTCTGCTTGCTCCATTCTGTTGTTAAAGAACTCTGATGTATTTTTTAGTATACTAATTGCATTTTAGAGCTCCAGAGTTTCTGCTTGATTCTTTTAAATTATTTCAATCTCTTTGTTAAATTTATCTGATAGGATTCTGAATTCCTTTTCTGTACTATCTCGAATTTCTTTGAGTTTCCTCAACACAGCTATTTTAAATTCCCTTTCTGAAAGTTCACATATGTCTGTTTCTCTAGGATTGGTCCTTGGTACCTTATTTAGTTCATTTGATGAGGTCATGTTTTTCTGGATGATGATGATGCTAGTAGATGTTCTCTGGTGTCGGGGCATTGAAGAGTTACATATTTATAATAGTTTTCACTGTCTGGGCTTATTTGTAGCCATCCCTTCTTGGGAAGGATTTCCAGATATTTGAAAGGACTTGAGTGTTGTGACCTAAGCTGT